GATCTGGGATGGTTCTTGTACTCTGTGGGATGCGTCAAGAAGGCATTGCAGACATGCTGTAGGCACAGCTGTTATGAGCCGGTCTCAGAGCATTTTTGTGATGTGTACCAGCAGGTTTTGGCGAGGGTGCCCAGCAGGGTCCTTCCACCCCAGAGAATCCCTTGTCTGTGGAACAGGGACAAAATGATCTCCATTAATGGAGGTTGAAGTAGATTTATCCAGACCCCTCTAACTTGACTACAGATTTATCCAGGCCTCTAATTTAACTAAGGAAAAAGAGTGAAGAAAAAAAATGGTCTTGCTTCGTATTTTAAAATGTTTTAAGATAAGAAAAACTCTTCTGCTTATTATGACTCCATGCACAGTTCTTTTTGGAACAAATGTTCTTCCTTTCCTAAATATAAAAAAGGTGATAACAGTTTTCAAAACAAAACGTGTTGCTGAGCAAGCAACTGTTATGATTTACCCCTGACTTCTTTTCAAGGATGCTTTGTTTAAACAATTTTAGGTATAAAAAGGTATGTTAACTTGTAGGGGGGGGGAGTTCTGTTAGATCCCCTCCCTATGATCGTATGGTATAGTCACCAATAAACCCAGACTGAGTCTGTGAATTCTAATACCAAACACAATGCAAAGTTTGATTTCTTCCACAGGAGATAATGAAGAAAAGCCAGCTAATGTGTATCCCTATGATTCAGTCATGCCTTGAAATTAAAATGCCCTGAGAACTTGTTTTTAAACCCCAGGCTGTAGCTCTCGTCTCTGTAAAGAATCCTTCTTCCTTTGCACACCCACTTACCCAAATTCAAGGCCACTTCCCATGAATCCCCCACCTGGCTTATGGTGCTCTTCATAAACAGTAGTTGGTACCAGCTTCTCAGTCAATTCGTATGAGGGGAAAGGAGGTTTGGGATGTGATGCCTTCAAGAAGGCTGCATCCTATGCTTTTTTCACCTTAATGATGGTTGTTGCCTCATGGGGTGACAACCTTGAGAACCTTTCTGAGTCAAGCTGTCCCTTGGCACCTTTTTATACACTGTGGCTCACTTGCTTTCTTGGTGCTGTATCCACTCTGTGGGAGGGAACTCGGAGCTGGTTTTGGCATTGTGAGAGCCTGAATGGCTGACAGTGTTAATTTCCTTGCAGAATCAATCCAGCAGGCTGGCTACGTATGCAGTGGAGGGTGAGCTCTGCCATAGCTTCCAGAGTTTCAACACCTGCTACTCAGACACAAGCCTCTTTGGCATATATTTTGTTAGTGACCGCATGAAATTAGATGATATGATGCTTTTTTGTCAGAGCGAATGGTGAGTGTAACTTGGTCAAGACTTTCTGCATGGGGGTCAGTCCCACTCATGGGCCTAGAGGTGGTAGAGGTTCCTTGGGTCCTTGCGAATACAGACCCACATGGGCGTCTTGATAAAATCTGGACCATGGGTTATCTAGCCCTAGTGGCAGGACTTGAAGTGTTTGCTCAGGAAACCAGAAGCCTGGTCTTGATATCCTGTTAAATTATTTTTTTGCTTATTTTGCCCTCACTTCACTCAATGTTGGCTGTGGTCTCTCTCTATTCCAGTGTGCTGCTAGTCAGCCTAACATCTTGGGGTGTCTTATTTCCTTTGGGGTGACAAAGCAAACACTCACAAATGATCTGATGCATATTACTCTTCCACTACTTGTTACACTTGGAAAATTAAGCAGGAGGTGGTTCTGAATTCAGATTTACCAGTCAGAAAACAAAAAACCCAGGTATAGGGAACCACTCAGTGCCATGTCTGGAAGGGTTTTGGCACATTGTTTGGCTCATCTTTTTTTCTCAGAATATATTTATCTCCTACTAGTGCCTTGATTTTTTTTCAGATGGGACTAGAGACTCTCTAGGCTGCATACCATACAAATTCAGCAAGAGCCAGTCCCTGTTCCAGAGCTTACTTTTGGGTTGGGAGAAAGAAGTTAACACTTGAGCCCTACAAAACTGCATAGGAACATCAGCAATTGGAATCCTTTGGCATTTTCAGCTCTGCATCTGGATGCTAGGGGTTTTATAAGGTGTTTGGGCAATCAGCTGGTGGGAGGCCTTTGTAGTTGTGATTCCAGCCTGAAAGGTGTTAGCTGATGCTTCACTCCCCACCTACCCCCTGTAAGCTCTTCTGGGTCTCTGGGCTCTTCAGTGTAATAGAGGGTAGTGAAAACTAAGACAAGCTAGTGAATACTTGTCTTCATCACAAGTCCAAATGTCCAGTTAATGCAAGAGTGGAGGTCCCAAGGGAAAGAATGGGATTTAATAAATCGCTTCTTGGCCTCTTGAAGGCTCAGATCAACTGTGAATCTCGTCTGTAGACAGGGGTTTCAGTTCTCATGACTATTAGGAGGTCTCTGAGAGCCCCCTGTTTGCTCTGTCTCCTGTTCAGGATGCGTTTGTGCACTAGTACAACAGACTCGGAGCTGAGGAGAGCTAAGAACATCCTTCGTAATGCCTTGGTGGCTCAGCTGAATGGTATGTTCTGTGCCAGGGCACTGCTATTTTTTTATCTCTTAAACGGCTCTGAGTGTGGTCTTCTTGAAATCAGGGAACTGTAGCAGGTGTTGTGCAAGGCTCCCCTCCATCCTGACCCACAGTGTATGCGGTTGTTCCTGTCTTAACAAAGCACCTGAGTAGGCCTGTAGGCCTTCATGCTGTCCATGCATATGTTGACCTCTCCTAAGCAGACTGCCAGTGAAGCTGTCTTGTGAGGCCTGCCAAAGGGAAGACTGAGATCAGACAGATTTTACTTATTATCCAACCCATCTATTAGTTGGGCGTCAGCAGTGCAAGTATTAAGGCATGTATCAGCTCCCTAGTAGGAGCTGCCTGGAATGGCCATCTGAAGGAGAACATGAGCTCTCACTTTACTGGATGTCAGCTAATGCTTTGGTTGGTGTAGTCCTCCTCTAGACTGATAGCTAGGCTGTGAAATGCTGGAAGGCTTTGGAATGCCTTGCTCAGTGTTAAGGCCTTCCCTAACAAACCTGCATCTCTCCTAGGTACCACTCCGATATGTGAGAACATTGGGAGCCATCTCTTGAACTATGGACGCCGTATACCTTTGGCAGAGTGGGATGCCAAAATTGCTGTATGTGTCAGTCTGTCCTGTCAGTTTGTCTGTTCTTGGGCCCCTTGAGCTTTCCCCAGTTGCCCTGTGTTTCTGGGCACATTGCTTACATCTGTTTTAGCAGAGCTGTTTGACTCTGGCTCTGCCTTTGGCTCATAAGATTAGTCAACTGTAATAAGTATGTTGGAAATGTCAAAGACAGAGCCATGAACATGCCTTTGTTTTAATTTTTGTACCTTCTCCCTGCACCCCGTGGCTGACTGGTTCAGTTTTTGTAGGGTAGTGGTACAACATAGGGCTATGGCAAGTGACTTGAGTATCTGTGGTTAGAGTGTTTGGAGCTCATTTGAGTGAAACTGCTTCTCAGGAGATGGCCAGCAGCAAAGATCTCACTGGATTATATATTGGCAAGACGTCTTTTCTAGTCAGCAGCCTGAACTAAAAATGGCCTGTGTGAGACTCCAGACAAAATAGTGTACTGGCCAAGAGAAAGAGGGGAAGGGATCTTGGTATTTCTCTGTTGCACTGAACCTTCTGACCAAGGACAGCTGGGTCATCATGAGGAAATCATAGAATAGAAGACCCAAAAGGGACCAATAAGATCATAAAGTCCAGTCTCCTGCCATGGGCAGGAGGTAATTGGGCTCAAACGAGCTCAACAAGCTGCTTGTCCAAAATCAGTCCTCCAAAATCAGTCCTTTTGGCTCCTGGTCACTTCCAGTGTTTGTCTCAAATTTCTGCTGTCAGCTGTGATGATAGGGTGAAATTGCACTGCAGCCATATAGAGGCTTAATTTCACAGCCCTGTATGTGTACAGTTTATAGTGTGGGCAGCATTATGGACTGGCATCTATATCTGCCAAAGGGAATGTTTTTAAATGGGAAGCTGTCCTGCACATAGTTAAATCCTATTGTCACCAGTTAGAATCTGCTCTCAGAACTGTCTCTCTCCACTAGGCTGTGGATGCTGCAACGCTGAGTGAGGTCTGCAGCAAATACATTTACGACAAATGCCCGGCAGTGGCAGCAGTTGGTAAGTGACCTGCGGGTAGGCATACAACGGTGTTGAAGTGTCGGAAAAGTAGCTAACTGGGATGGGTCGTTGTATTAAGGGCATAAGCAGCTTCCTGTAGAAGGTATCATGGAGAATGTTCTCATCTCCTTGCTTAGCTGTGCCAGTATCTTCCCTAGCATCTGCTTTGCCTCTGTGCATCAGATATGCTGCAGCATGTTCAATGGGATCAGAAAATCCACAGGCACAGGTGCTAGTAGCTAGTGGCTTTTAGCTGCTCCCACCTTGTTACAGGCTGGGGAGATGCGATTAACAATGACACTCCCATCTGGGTGGGGCTGCAGTGGTGCCTGCCAAATGTTTCCTCATTTGGGGGTCAAATCAGGTGATGTCTGAAGAAATAAGTGGGATAAACACCTTGTGCTGCTCCAGCATGTCTGTCTGGCCAAAGAGGTGTTCCTGTGGAAGAACCTGTCAGCACAGCTCCGCTCCCTCCTCTGTTCCACACAGCTCTCTCCAGAGCAAAGCCGCTGGAAAAAGGGGGTTTCCAGACAACTGGCAAGTTGGCACAAACCGTCATCCAGTTATTGTCTGGAGGCTTATGCTTTATCCTGTTACTGGATTGTTTTTTCAGGTGAAGACTTGAATCTATTTGGCATGCTACAGCAGTGTAATGCAGCAGCAGCTGATGTTTAGTCGTTAATAATGGTTCATAATGCCTCTTGGGGAAGAACATCCATCGCCCTCTGCAGAGCAGGTTTCACATTATACAGCGTGTTTTATGAAGTCTTTGTGTAATTTTAAACTTTAATGACTTTGGATGTACACATGATGGAAGCAAACTGTAAATGGCAATTGAAAGCATAATTCATTGTTTTAACACAATACAGCTCAAATTTCTGGACTTTAACATAACCGCCATCTTTTGTGATACATTGGTTCAGTCCAATTTTCTAACTCGTCAAAACCATTTTCCAGTTGCTGCTGAGTGATTTCACGAATTGCATTTGTGAACCTTACCTTATGTATGGCTTCCACTATGCTAAAAAAGTAATAAATTATGCTTTCAGTTGCTGTTTACAGTTTACTTTTATCATGTGTAAAAACCAAAATTAAAGTTTAAACTTGCTCAAGGACTTTATAAATACCCTGAATTTGAGCTGCTTCCTGTATCTGCTGTAACATCATCGTGTCAGCACAGTAGAACTGAGATGCTGATGTGGATCTCGCTGTCTCAAGTGACTGATTTTTGTTCTGCTTGCTCAGGTCCCGTTGAACAGCTGCCTGACTACAACCGTATCCGCAGCAGCATGTACTGGATCCGTGTATAGGCTGCCTCCCCCACAGAGAACGGTAATAGAGATCCAGTGGGCTACGAAGCAGCTCTAAGGGTTGTGCCTGTGGGAATGATCTGGCTGGCAGCGGCAAAGTAGCTGTTGCTAAAGTTGGTGTGGAAGCACTCGTCTCCTCAGCTGTGTTCAAACCTGTAATAAAAAGAGCAAAATAAATGTAATTTAAAAGGAATTGGCTCTCCTGAGTGTTCATGGCAGTGCTTCTGAGCTGGGATGGAAGCCATTCAATTTAGGCAGAAGAGGTATCTCCATACTGATGATACTAGGCTTATGTGAGCACCAGTGAGTTTGCCGCTGAAGTAGCAGAGCTCCAGTGGGCGATGCAGAGTTTTGTGATGTCCTGAGTTAACACACAGCTTTTTTGCAGGCCAGTAAATGTGAGATCAGAGGAACAGGGCACTTGTAGGTCTGGGTCTATGCATAGGCCATGGCCATGGAGAAGGAATTTTACAAAGTCTCCTTCTGAGCTTCGAGTATTTGGCCAGTCCCCGCAAACTGTCATGGATTTCCTTCTTCCCTTCTAAGACAACCTGAAGAGGATTTCACTTCCTTAGTTGTGAGCTACTCCTGTTGTCACATTCAGTTACTTCTACAGCCTGGTGGATCAGGCTGTTTTCCTCCCATTTATGGCTCCAGCTGAGAAAAGAAGGATGACTGTCTCCAAGAAGCTTTAATGCTAGAATACTGACTTTTAGAATGGTTAGAAACAGAATAGTTTTTATTTGCTGCCACTGTCCTGCTAGGCCCATAGACAAAAGGATTGCTTTAGTATTTGCCCTCTTTGTCCTTTGCATAGAGAGGACTAGAATTAGAAAGTGGCTGCTTTCAGCAAGCCATTGGCTGCAGCTGAGAGCAGTAGGGGAAAAGGTTACAAAGCCCTGGTGAGATAGGCAGGAGCTCTTTAGGACCGTGTTAGCATTGTGCTCTGTGGTTCAGCTTCACTAACTTGCACTTCTCTCACTGTGCCCTGAGCCATGTACAAAGTCACTTAAGCAGACAACTTGGCACAGGGAAGAGACTGAAATTGTGGCTTGTTTCTATCTGTATTCAGAGCAATAGATCAGTCTAGAGGGCTTCAGTTATCTGAAGGCTGCATTCACAGCTCCAGCTTTCTTGCTGCCAAGTGCTCCCCTACCTCTTCACCCTCTTACTGCCTAGCAGCATACCATCCCATTCCCTTGGATTCCTCTTGTGGCTGCTGACTGTACTATGCCAGATTTTGTCTCCACCTCAGCTTTTTGACCTGTCAGCTGCAGTATGGTTCCTAGTGGACAAGTGTCCTCATCAGACAAAGCCCCAGGACAGCAATCTGTACTCTTTTGGTGACAGCCATGAAAGCCAAGGGGCAGACACCTGGGCAGCATGGAAGAAGCTTGCCCTGCTGTCTGTGCTATGCTTCCTGTGCTCAAGGACTTTATAATCTTGGTTGTCAATCCAGTGCGTTCCCCAGCAGGAAATTACTGGGTCATGTTTGAAAACCGCATCACGCAGCCAAACCCAGGGTGTACCTTTATGGAAGTGTTGACAGGGGCTTCCCACAAGGTGGCGCTAGGTCATCACATCTCCATCTCTTAGATTCCAATATAGTCTTGTTCATTGGATAATTATCCTTGGGATTCTCATTTAACTTCCAGACATCTGCCCTGACAAGTGGACTTTAAAAATAACCCAAATGTTTCCAAGAATTAGTCACATAACTTGAGACGGCTCCAGCCAGTGAAGCTGTTTGCATGGAATCCAGATCCTAAATGGCAGAGCTGTTGTGTCTGAACCCTTGGCACATGGTAGGCAAGTTTGAAACTGTTAAATCGCCCTAATGCTGTTTGAATTAAAACTGGTGTGCGTTGCAAGCTCTGGCTCGTTCTGTGCCCGTCAAGGGCCGAGGAACTAAGAACAAGCTCATTTTTGCCTGAAAGGCTGTGGAACCAATAAAGGTTCCCACCTTAGTTTGTGGTTGCAAATAGACCCTGATTCTCTTTGAGAAAATTACAGTAATGGAAAGCAACAAAGAGCTCATTGCCTTATAGTCTTATGCCGCCAATGAACCTGGGGGTGGGGTAGTGAGAGGGGGAGAGTGCTGAGGTGGGCTGGTGTTGCTTACAAAGCCCTTTGGGTGACGGTTTCCTCCACTGGAACAGCCTGCTCAGAAGTGAGGGTCATCCTTACACAACAAGCCATGTTCTCTGGGGTGGCAGACTCCCAGCCTGCTCTGTAGAGCTTGTTTTCTGAACACAGAACCTATGAATACAAGAACTACTGTTTACCAGGTCAGAGCCCAGGTCCACCTGCCCAGTCTCTTGCGTCACACAGTAGCAGAGGAAAGGGAGAGTGAACTGGGGGTAACCAAGTTATTTTCCATGGTTCCTTTCACTTGCAGCCTTCAGCATTTAAGGTCTAGGAAGCTCCGATTCAGATGCTGTACCCCTGACTCCTGTACTCAATAGCTTCTGAGGTCCCTTTCCTCTAAGAATGTGTCCAATCCCTTACTGAATCTGGCTAAACTGTCAGTGCCCACAGCAACTGGTGCCAGCGAGTCCCATGCTTCAGTGATACGCTGGGTAAAAAAGAACTTCTGATCTGTTTTAGCTATAGCAGCCCATAACTCAGAGCACCTTGCTGATATTGCTCTGGGTTAGGCCTGTGGCCCTGTCCCTGAATCCAGCCGAGAGGTTACAGAGGTTGATTTTATATGCCACCACGTGGTATTCCTCTGAAGCTCGTAGTCCATGAAGGGATCTGAACTTCTCTGATCCCCCTGGTTTAGAAACCACCACAGAGTCCTATCGCCATAAACAGAGCTCAGTCTGGTGTTCTGCGGCTGCAGGAGCTGGTAAGTTAGGTCATAGACACCTCTTTGCTGCTGTTCAGGCTGAGGAGTTTGGCAGGCTCTGCCCTGAGGTTCTGCTGGGATCTCGCCATTGTGAAGCTTGGTGCTTTCAGAAGTGCTGGGAGTGGGCAGAACAGCCCAGCTGTAAGACTGATTACCTATCTTCCTCATCCTTCTCTTTCTCCTTGGTGGTAGGTCTCATATTCCCAACAAGGCTGGATACCTGTGGAGAGCCCGGTGGTGGGTATGTAAAAGCTTTTACCATCTAATTTACAATGGATTGTTGCTCCTTCTTCAAGGGGCGCGAGAATCCTGGGCTGCGGTCAGTGGGTTGCTGAGTCATCAGGTACTTGGCATCTGGATTTTTTAGTGAGAAGGGAGATGAAACTGAACTAGTTGGCAGGGTCCCCGCTGCTGCTCAATGAGCTACTGAACTCTGTTCCCTGCTGCTTCACTAGTGCAGCCTCAATCTATGAGAGTCCAGGTTTGGAGGAGCCTCATTTAACAAAGGAAGCTGGAAAATGTGGGCCTTGTTTGAGAGAAGGGATGCAGGATTAAGCTGCAATATCCAGTGTGAATCAGCAGCGGGGAGGGAAGGCAGGGCATGGGCAGGGAAGGGGGCTGGTCTGTGGAGCAGGGCACTGCTAGTCCACAGCTGTTCAAAGAAGCTGTATGTGGCTGCTGGAGGTATGGGATATGTCCTCCGCCCATGTATCTGGTTACAGCTTCATTGGAGCTGTGACTACTGCCTGGGATGGACCCCTGGTGAGCAAGGCCAGGACAGAGGATGGTGGAAGCACTTTCCTGCTAAGAGCCCTCTGTAGCCTCAGCTGAGCACTTCTGCATAAAGGGCTCATAGCAGCAATAACCATAAAGCAGGAGCTGACATGGTGGTGGGAGGGGCAGCTGGGCAGGGACATTCTGGCTTAACAAAAGCAGCTCTTTTGATCCCTGAGCCGCCTGTTTGCAAATTCTGTCTCCTGCCAAGTGATGGTTCCTTGCAGCCAATTCTTGGTAATTGCCTCACCTGAAATAAATTATCCCCCTTTGGAAAGGACTGCTGACGCTAATCATAGAGGCAGAGCTGTGCCTGTCCTTAGGAAACCTGGCAGCCACAACAAGAAAGAGGCTTGTCCTTGTTCCCCATCTGCTCCTGAGAGCTCTTAGGAGAGCTCCTAGAGCCCCCTTCTTGACTAAGTCAGCAATCTCTCTACTGTTGCTACTGCAGACCTGCTCTTGACTCTGGCTACCAGGAGGGTGAATCCGATTGTGCCAGGCAGCCAGTGTTCATCACAGCCACCGAGGTGTCATAGTGGGAGGCTGCTAGTCTGCTTTACACACCACAGTACATCTGGCTCCTGTTCCTGGAGGGACAGGAAGCCCAGGGCCTTCCCTTGGCAGCCTGTAACCCAAGGCTAGACAGCACCATAACTGCAAATAGACAAACTGCCCAAGAGAAGGGTGGAAGTGCTCCACCCAGCAGGGAACTACCCTTAAGTCCAGTGTGTGGGACAGTCATGCCCTTATGTGAGCAGTGAACTCTACAGCTCTGCTCCTGCCATCTGGCAGCAAAGGAATGGGGGGGAGGAGGGCAGGGGATGGAGCATTTTGAGCTCCCTTCATCCTGGTAGAGATTTCTCTATCACCATGAAGGAAGTGAGCCCCATCCTGCCCCTGGAGGAGCTTGGGTCAGGCATAGCTTGAGGTCCTCGGTGAACGAATGCTGTGGATTGGTCACTAGGTGGTAGCTGTGAGTCTGCTCCCTGAATCACAGCCCACAGGTGGCAATGTCCACTCCAACCTCTTCCTGTAGCAAAGCCAAGAGTCCCCTAATTCAGTGGGCAGATTCAGCAGAACCGGCTGGGGGAGGAGTTTGCGTGGCCACCCCCTCTGTGCCATTGAGTCTGTGCTAAATGGCAGCTTCTCTAACTGCGTAGAACTCAGTCATACGCTGCTGACATGCCAGACTGGCACTGTTTTTCTGGCCAGGTGGTGAGGATGGCCTTGTTTATGGGGTGCCAGCCTGGGACTTTGACTTGGGTTCCCTTCCCAGTCCTGCCAGACCTCATATGCCATTGTGGTCAAGACAACCGTGTGCTGTGGCCAACATGTAAAACAGGAACTTGAACATTCCTGTCTGCTGGTGCTCAAGGGCCCAGCCCTTTGGTTGAGGAGGTGCAGCCTCACAAGCAATGATTCGGGGAGTCAGCTACTGCAGTCTGGGGATCCGTTCACCTGTTCCAGCTGACAGGGACTAGCGTGCTGCTGGCTCTTAGTGAAGATGGATGCTACCCTAGGTTTGCCTTTGACTGAGCTGCAGCACGTGAGCAGTGGGATGGCTGTGT